GAAGTTATCGTCCGGATCCAGCAAAGCCAGGTCCTTAACTGATTAGGATGATAATGTGCGCTGTTATGATATCTCTATTACACACACAGCCCATATCTTGAAGAAGTGGGAGGCATGATTGCGTACTTCATCTGAACGTGGCCTACAGTGTATACTTGGTGGGATATTTTCATTTGAGACAATAGTCATCCTCTCTTGTGCAGAAGATAGACAAGAAAACAAATGTGTCGAAAATGATGTTTTCGCAGGAACACAGCTGCTGCCACGTTCAGCTGCAGCGTGCAGGAAAGCCTTTCCCTTCTCCGGGACATACAGGCGAGCGCGTGGCCACTCCAATTGCCATAGGCTATGGAAAGCGAATGACAAAGCGCTACGGAGAGCGGAGGGTAAGCTTTCCTCTAGTGTTCACCCACACTGTGTACTATTAGGCAAAACAAAACAGCCAAATAGAAGATGCGAATTACCTTAACAAACAGGATATCAGTGACGTTATTCTTATCACCATCAGAATAGATCGGGATTCGTGTATATCCCATTCGGACGATCTCGGCGACTGTCTTGGTATTCAAAACGGTGGTGTCGGGTATCATGAACACATCCTGAAAGGCATGCCAAATGCAAAAGAAAAAAAATTCAAAAATGCGTCGATGTGTACTTAATTTGATCAGCATATTGTAGAAGTTGCGTTGAATGATTAGGTAACTTTTTGTTTCGGACGATTTTCATCTCAGACCGATTTCAAGCTTCGATTTTGAGCCGTAATAGGTGATCCCTGACCAATTTGCCTCCTGGTGGGATTCATCCACACTGAAAGGCCAAATGGTCGGAAATCGGACAGCTAAAGACAGATGACGTGATAATCTGGGTAGAGGCACCCACACACACATTTAACTTATTCCCATAAGTTCCCATAACTCTCCCCTCTTTAAAAAACGCACTACTATGAAAGACGCAATGAGTTTCCGCGCACCTATCCGCATGTCTCATTATCGCGGAATAAGTCTTTTATTCCATTCGAGCTACACTTGGTAGAACCACTAGCAAATCAATCGGATCACAATAGCAGCTGGGTTGAATCCATAAAAGACCAACTTACAGCTAGCCTCGTCATGACGTCTTCTGCCACCTTGTCAGCTATCTCCATAGCGCCAACGGCAATTTTAAGCTCGTTCGATAATTGCCCGTTGTCGTTTTTGATCGACATACGTATCAACTCCATCAGGCGCTTCCGATCGTATGCTTGCTGAAACCACATATTCAGCTAGAAATGCAGGAGAGTGCAGGGCAACGTGCGTGATAATGCAACTAATTGTAAAGGACAAGTATTTCCAACAAGAAGAACCCGAGCAGGTGTGGGACGCGTTTTCCACCTCAAGCGCGCTTAAAGGCACATTCCGCGATAAAATAAGGCTATGACCTCTCAAATGTGTCGGACGATCCGGAAGGCGATTTTTGAGGCTGCGCTACTTTCAAAATGTGAAAAACGGCAAGAACTCCGCTAGAAGCTGACTAATTAGGCCCATGGACACCCCTTAGGCCCATGCCGACCCTCACCGGCTGCTAGCTACTAGCTAGTAGCCACTATGTTATCTTTCTCTATAACATTTCATGTGCCGGACTGCTTTTTCTGGCTTTGCTTTTTCTACCGCTAGTCGAAGAACACATTAGCATTTTTTTGTGCCTATTTGATTCCGTTTTCCGCAATCTGCGGTCGCGAACTGTGCCTTTAAGACTGCCCTCAGCAAGAGGTCGCATCGCAACGCTCGCGCCTTTGCACCTTTTTCCGATTAACTTTCCTGCGCCGGACATACCGAGTACTAAGAGAACCAAGTAAACCCAAAAACTCACATATTCATCGCCAAGAAGACAGTCGAGAAGCTTGCTGACTGGATATGCTACCGGATAGGTTATGAATATGAACACTTGTGTTATTAATATTGTATGAGCACCAACAGCAAGACCTTTCCTAAACAACACAGTACGATTAACAAGCTCCGCCTATGGAGATAACCACGCCCCTCGGGAATTGACAAGGTTGCCCGCTAGGCTCTCCTGATAAAACGTTGGCAGCTAACATACGACAGCTTAATCCAAAGAGATATCTTACTTGACACATATACTTTGTGGAACGATCTCGCCGAAGATGACAATACCAAGTGATGAGATAAAAAGAGCCAGAAGTCCTGTGGTCAGCTCACCGAATAGAATTGAAATCGCAGCATTCACGATAACATTACCCAGAAGAAGCGAGCAGAGCAGCAGATTACCTGCAATACTTGGTTGATTGAATGGAACTAGTAATACACTGCGTCCCAAAAGTATAGTTCCACCCATAAATCTCACAATATCCCGCCCTACACGACGTTTTCAAAAAAGCCTCTAGATAGAAAATGTGGTATTACCAGTGCCAGTTTGCAGGGTCAGTAGAAATTGGTACGCTCGACCTCGTTAATGACTTGTCGCACCTATGATTCGAGGCATAATTAGCGAGGTGCGAAGCGACCTCATTAAGCTGAGGCACGTCAGCCGAGGCACGCATGAGCTACCCAACAGATTAAGGTGAAGGCTTACGAAAAAGTAGTACGATAAGGTAGCGCTACCTGTCAAAGTGAATGGAATGGTATAATGCTTAGCCTTTAACTAACCAATAATCAACTAATCGAAACTCGATCATTCAAGAATTCATGACGAAAAGCTTTAAGAAGGTCTCGTTGAAACCCATACGCTTACTAAGTGCATCCTTGCATATCGCTGAATCTCACTGCCTGCCTTGGGCGGGTTAGTTCAGGTAATGACCCTCTGGCCTAAATTATAATTTAGGAACGAACGCTAGGACATTACGAAAAGAGTACATGGAGAGGAAAGAGAAAATATCTGACGAAATGGCGCAGTAGGACCCTCCTCAAATCACTTTCTTCGTTTATCTCTTAACGAGACTATTATTATTTCAGATTCAATGAGCTTTATCAGCAGGGAGTATCAAGTGCCCAAACAGAGTTTTACTGCAGATAGTTGTCCCAGTTTGTTACAACAAAACTATATGATACATTTTTATTCGATTTGCACACTTGTTTTTGTTTACATAGTTGTAATAATAAAATAATAATAATATAATAATAATAATAATAATAATAATAATAATAATAATAATAATAATAATAATAATAATAATAATAATAATAATAATGAAAATAATAATAATCTGCAATCGAAGGTTTTGCCTGACCGATGTCGCTGTTGTCCCTAAGTTCTACACGGGATCCGACCATCGTCTCCTTCGCGCAAGATTTCCGCTTTTCGATGCGAGGAGAGAGAGAGAGCCGCAAAGTTAAGAAAGGCGCATGCCCCCAAGACCAAAACCCATCAACTGGGAGTAACTTCACTTCTCTGTGCTGGGCTCTCCGTGGGAGGATTCTGTCATAGAGACAACATCGACGACGGAATACGAAAAGCTGTCATGACTTACACGATCTGCAAAGACGACGAACTGCACAGCGCGGCTGCCTGAAAATGAAGTCAACTTCGAGGCTTAACTTATCGGAAGGAGAGCTGTTTTCCGCGCGTAGTATCAGAAGAATCCTGAGTTTCATCTACAGGAGGAATATGAGTTAGGCACTGTTTTAAACAAAAAACCATCGCGAAAACTTGATTGGCTTCGCTCGAAGATGTTGCCGAACCGATTGGAGTGAGGGTAGCTTTTGGCTGCGGTTGCCCTGCTGCTTGTCTGTGTTGCTTTTTTAGTTTTTTTTTCTCGCGGTCGTGTTCTCTGATGAGAAAAAATTCAACTGCAACCGCTCAGGCGAAACCGATTCCGCTGGCACGACCTGAGGGAAGACAAGTTTCATTTTTCCGGGTGGAACTTCAGTGGATGTGATCTCATGGTCTGGGGTGCCATCGCATGGAACGTCTGAAACTGTGCTCCGTATGGAAAAAAATGATTTCTTCCGTCTATCTAAAAGTCATGCGACGACGTCTCCTTCCTTTCTGGTGTAGAAATCAGCAAGAAAGTCCTGTTTTCATGCAAGACAATGCACCAATTCATGTCAGCCGAAACACTCGAGCGTGGTTCAGTCGTCATCAAATCGCTCTTTTGCCCTGGCCAGCGAATAGCCCTGACTTAAACCCAATCGAGAATGTGTGGGGCTTCATGGTCTATGAGAACAATGCACAATTCCACAAGTCCGTGAGCTCAAGAAGTCAATAATTGATGCATGGCAGCATGTCGACCGAAAACTGTTTTAAAACCTCTATTCGAGCATGGACAACCGCATTTTCCAACTTATCAAAGGAATGAGGCTGCAATAGATTATAGACATTAGCAATTCATTCATTTTGTTGTACACTTGTTGTTTTATGAATCGATTTGTTTAGTGGAACTATATTTTGGGACATTGTCAAAGTGAGAAATTTTCAAAAAATAAAGAAAATTGAAGTTGCTCTGGAAAGTTAGTTCTCGGTGTTGGCATGCAAATTGGCACTGGTAATTACCACATTTTCTATCTAGAGGCTTTTTTGAAAACGTCGTGTAGGGCGGGATATTGCGAGATTTATGGGTGGAACTATATTTTGGGACGCAGTGTAGAATCAGTGGAGTCATTAGGCTCAAAACCAGATTCCAGAATTGAAGACACTGCCCACGCTGGTCGTGAAGGCGGGTCACCCCTGCTTTTATGCCTTTTTCACTGACTGCCCTCTTCTTTATTGTAGTAGAAGGGAAGGAAGCCTTAATGAGTAAAGCATAGTGCAAGGTCGGGCTCCACCCACAGGATCAGCGTGGACTGTACATTTAGGCCCTGTGAAGGAGACGTTGGAGATGGATATTGAAGAGGAACTTGTTCAAGTTGCAGTTTTCCATATATAGCTAACC